AAGAGTGTGAGAAGCATCTGGAGCGCGGTGGCCCAGTATCGAGTCAAAGAAATGCCTGCTGCTAAAATGAGCCCTTGTTCCAAGAAAAGCAGCTCTCTCTCCCCACAATCCCAAGGAAGAGGAAAAGTAGGACAGCTCCAAAAGGATCAGCGCAGAGAGGCAGCAAGTTCGGGTTGGAAGGTGCATAGAGACAGGCCCTCATTAAAAAAAACCCAACAGCCCCAGAGCTCAGTCTTTCTTTCTTTGGTTTCCTATTGAAGAGTGTGACTTGTCTTGGCTGCAGTATTACCCCGGTGGTATTGGCCGTCCTGATCCCATAAGTCATTTGTCCCGCAGGGTTTCTTAGGACACGGTACCTCCATGCCCATCTTCCAGTGCCCCCATTGACCTATCCGCGTCCCCTAGAGAAAGCCACTTTCCTCGATCCCTTTAACTTTGCTGCTAAATTTAAGAGCGATGCCTGAAGGAGACAGAGGGCTTGTTTAGAGAGTCGGCGGTGAACAGTAGGAGCAGTGTCAGGCAGGGAAAAGGTGCTTGAAACCACGTCGTAGCACAAAACCACCAGTCAGGGCTACTTTTACAGTAAATGTAGTTGTGATTGAGCCGTCAAGCCGTACAGTAGCACAGTGTGTGCGCCCAAACTGGGAGAATCCCTCTCCAACCAGCACATTTCAGGCGGCAGTTTTGTTTTTTTTTTCTGCTGCAGAGGCAGAAAGCGGTGTGGGATTATGTGCCGTGAATCAGTTCATTATAACCGCTTACTTTCTGTAGGATGATTGACTTCTGCGGTCATGCGTTCAGCATGCAGAGCGGCTGGGTTTTAGTAGCTGAGGCATATTTTAAACTCCAAAAATAATAATAAGCAAAAATAGAGCCTCTGCACAATGTCGCCCCGAAAAGAAGGGCTGGGATGCAGCGCTCCAAACAAAGTCTTCCTTCATGTAAAGCAAGGAGAAGGAGCTCCCGGAGGCTAGACAAAATAAATCTGGGGAGGTTTAAAGAGGGACAGCTCTCGACTGCTGTCTGGCCTTACTGCCAGTTTGTAGAAATAAGCTTTTTACAAGTCATGAAACCAGTCAGGAATGCTTCCATAGTATTTCTTTTGAAGGAAAGTCCTATGGGAAGTGTTGCTTCATCACTTTCCCTTGGCGTTTGCCAACCCAACCATTGCAGCACTGGGAACCTGAAGCCGACTGACAGTTACGGGCAGTGGTTTGGGTTGATTTTCCTCCTGAAGCCCTAAGAAATAAATGAGCCGAGGAGGGGGGGATCCAGTCTTCCAGATCGTTCGGTCGTGGTGAGGAGGTACGGGGCACAGAGGTGAGGGCTGCACCTCAGGAGGGCTTTTCCTCTCCGGAGCGCTGCCTTAATTGTTACCTGGCTCATTCTCACCGTCTTCCCTGGGGAATCGTGCGCCCATTTTACAGGTGGGGACAGGGAGGTGCGGAGAAGGTTAAGCAATCTCTCCAAGACTACAGGAGGAAGGTTGTGTGTTCAAGGTGCATTACAGCTTAGCACCTCTTGGCTTTTCT